AATGAGTTTGATTATTTTACGTTTGAGGATCACTTTTGATTTTGACAATTTTGGGTTGGATAATCAAGCACTGGTGAATATCAAGAAACGCGTATTCGTTGATGCATTATGAACTCATTTGTTCATTTCGCTTGTACATGACAGCGAAGATTTTCAAAACAAACGCAATTCGTCTACACTGGTTTAAAGCGCTACTCCTTGCGTGTGATGGTAAACGATAAAAACAGACACTGCCAGCAACACGGCCAACATCTAAACAAACAACCTGATGGTAGTTTTGCACTCACTCAGAATCTTCAAAATCGACCAATCAGCAACTGGATCACACACTGGATCAAAATCTATACCAAGTTGTCTGATCTTAATCTTACGTAAGAATGGCACTTCATACATTTTAACGGGGTTCATTTTAATTTGCACTTCTACACAGAAACAAAATCCATTGGCAAAAATACCATGTTGATGGTTTAAATTAAATACTCCCACCAATAGATTTTTGCAGAAACGAAATTCATTTAATTTTACTATTGTTTCTATCAAAACTACTATACCGTTTGAGTAAGCATAGTAGTTTGGACAGAATGGTAATAAATTTGATTATATTTATAGTCAATTGCTGAAATTATGGTAGATTAAACGGTATTAAGCGTAGTTATACTGAAAATAAATGTTTTCTGCAAAATACTATTCCTAACTATGGTCTTTGTTTCAGTTATAAGCATTAGAAATACATGTTTCTGGTAGCCTTATTGGATGTTTTGTTTTGATTCTGCATTCCGTTTCGCATCGTCCCATTTCCTCGCATCCTCCATTCCATATGCTGAATGGCATTTGATCCATTTTTAGTTTGCACGGCATGTAGATTGCTTGGGCTCAAATTAAAAAGTGTGCAGATTAAAAACGGTCAGATTACCGGGGGTCCACAGTACATCCCTGAAATAAAAGGAACAGTTTTTTTTTTTGCTTTATTAGAGAGATTTTCAGCCTTGGGCTGGTTCATCTCTTAAAATAAATGGAACAGTTCTAAAGATCATTAAAGCTTCTTTGACCTTTTCTGACCTTCTCTGAAATTCACAAAATATGTCTAGAGTTTTCAGAAATGTTCAGGACTTCTCTGGACTACCCTGAAAATGAAATGACTAATGACTAAAACCTGGAAATTGTGGCAAAAACCTTGCATTAGTAAAGGGTTGACTGGAAGTCATTTCCTTGGATAAAGTCCTGGCACTGCGGAAGCTTAAACGTGTAAATCCCAGGTCACGTGTAAATGGAAGTATTGTCGAAGACTATACTTGGACTCTTGATAACTAGTTACACCTTTGAATGTTTTTGGTTGATGCCTATAGCATATTTAACAGGACATTTATATCTGTAATTGTAACCAGCTCGATTTTGTTTGCAAACCTGGTTAAAATGTTTATATATAATTATCCAGCTCAAACCTTTGTAGGGATAAGAGGTGGGACCATCATCATCATCATGAAACGCCTTGAACGTTTCTCAAAATTGTGTTGACGTTCATGTTAATTTCCTGAATGCATCCAGACTAACGTTCAAAGTTTTTAAACTTGGTTTAAACTGGACGTCCCTGAAGTTATTGTGACAGCCTTAAGATCTCTGAGCTACCTGATAATCTCTATATCTATCATCCTTGAGGTTCTTGAAACTTCTATAAATTTTTCACAATTTTCCTCAAATTTCCTGAACCTCTGTGAGTCTCTGAAGTTTGAATAACTTCTTAAAAGTTCCTGCAGTTTCCCTGAAGCTGATAGAACCACCTTAAAGTTCTTGAAGCTTTCCTGAAGTGAACAAAATTTTACAGATGTTTCCTTACTATCCCGTAGTCATGCTTGGCATACACAGTTGTACACACCAACTGCACGAATTTGTTTTTCTTTAAAGTAATTGATATATTAGGATCATAGCTTAGATATGCAAAAAGTAGATAAATCTTAACATTTGAATCAACACCAATGAATTTTTACTCTTAAAGTCCGAGATGTGCAGCGAGCATTTCTCACTTCATTTTTACAACGCAAAAACAAATACAGTTTATTACTAGAATTAAAATCTACTTTCATTTATGTATCTATAACAAGCTCAAACTCTATTCTATCTACCGCTTCAAAAAGAACTATGTTTCGTTAATTCTGGGTAAAGTTATTAGCAAATGAGCAGTTCGTGAACAAAACTGTGTATGCCAAGCATGTCCGTAGTCTGCTCATGAAACTTTTTCAAAACCCTCGAAGAACGTCTACAATGTTCCATTAATATTTGTTGACCGTTGAAGCTCTATTATCCTGGACTCCTGACCACACTTCTGATGATCTTCCTGGAATTTCCCTGAAATTAAAAAGCTTTGCGACGTTTTCTGCAGCTCCGAGATTTTTTTTTTCTTTATGTGAAGTTTCTGACAGTTTTCTTGTTCTCTAAACTTCCTAATGTTCTCTACTCTGTCATTAATTTTTGGAACTTCTGGAAGGTTCTCGCTATTTTCCTGAATTTAATTTAACTGCCCTAAAGTACTAAAAATTCACCTGAAGTTTTCGGAATTTCCCTGAAGTTCCCACGATTCTCCTGATAATCATTTAAGATCTTTAAACTCTACCAAAGTTTTTGCAACGGAAGTTTATGAAATTCTCGAAACTATGGGAACCTATCCTAAAGAACATCAAACTTTCATATTGTTCTGAACGCACTGGACCTTCTTAATGTTTTCGGAATTTCCTATATTTTTTTGGAATTAGTTTTCCAACTGTCGTAATATGTCGTGAAGCTCTCTGATCTTCATCTAAGTTCACGAAATTATCCAAAAGTTCTGAGAATTGAACTACTCGGAACCAACCCTTAAAGATATTTAATCTTCCCCATACTTCTGGACTTTCCAGCAGTTCTTGGAACTTTCCTGAAGTTTTTTAAACTTCTCAGAACGCTTCGGAATATCACTGAAATGACGTTTCGTTTTATTCTTCTTCTTCTTCTTTTTCTTCGCATTTCAAGCTTATTGCATATCGCATATTAGCTTATTGCGTGCTCTCAACTTAGTGTTCTAGATGCACTTCCACAGTTATTAATTGAGAGCTTTCGATGCCTGTACCATTTTTGCATTGGTATAATTGTGTGGCAAGTCCAATCATACTTCTATGCCCAGGGAAGTCGAGAAATTTTCCAACCCGAAAAATTCCTAGACTGGACCGGGAATCGAACCCAGCCACCTCCAGCATGGTTTTGCTTTGTAGCTGTGCCTTTACCGACTGAGCTAAGGAAGGCCTAAAAAAAATTATTCACACTCCATTTATATCACCCTCGGTTTTATGACCAAAGTGTTTCCACATGTATAACGTGTTTTAGAATTGAATAATAAATTAGAAAACATATATTTATCATTAAAAGTGTTTTTATGTTACTTCATACGCGAAGTATGCGATTTTCAGAGTTGGTTGGAAATGTTATCTAAAATGAAGTGTGATAATTTATTTGCTAGAGAATGGCCTGAAGAGGGTAGGTAGATAGTTTCGCTAGGCTACGGCAGTATGAAAATTCAATAGAAGTTGAAAATGAGCGAAGGGCCATTAATGCGGCAGTACTAGTCAAACGCACACTTCTTTACTTAACCCATACATATTTATCATTGATTTTGGACCGCATATGCAAGTAAAACAAAAATATATTGCCAATGCATTGTAACACATCGTTAGCGAATATTTACGATGGTTATTTGGGATCTTTAGAGTTATCGAGGTGGTTGCATATTCATAATCTGCATGTCAAATTGATCCGAAATCCAATATTTCATCGATTTTGGAGTACTGAAACTATTATAAATAAGTGTGATTACATTAGCAAAAATCATCATCTCGGTGGTACTTAGTATGAGAGCGAGCTGTCAATTTTTTAGAGTTGCGTCAGAGAAGTGGTTATTTTGCTATAAATCTTGATTTAAAAATCGAGATGGAATGGGATCGAAGCGATATATTTTTCAAAATTAAAGAACCCAATTGGTATTACACACATTGAAACGCTTTTCAAAGTTCGGGTTTTACAATGATCTGATCTGAAAGTTATTTGTGTAACAGAACTGAAAAGTCGGTTTATAATGCTTCTATTTCTAGTCCCGAGTGGAATAATTGTGGTATTCTTCAGAGTAGTGTGTTAAAGTTCCTTTTATTAAGTAGTGGAGGTACTAAGATAATTTATTTATTAAAAAATAAACAAACGATATGTACAGAATTATAATACGTCAATCAAGAGCTTTCAAACTATATTTTGCTATTATAATAATATTATATTGTGATTAAATTGTACATGTTTTTCGAAACCTCGTCCCACATTGATAGGAACACTTAGTTGAGGTAGGTGATAACTTTGGTTCCTGCAATAGTGGAACGCATTGGTTTCTTATGGATTGAACATTCTATGGCCTCTGTATTCTATCACTTATTGGCGTCTCAGCATTCAAAAAGAGGTGAACCAGCGACGTTTCTATACATTCTATTGATCTTGTATGCAACATTATTTGAGACTAAGGAAGCAAGCTTTTTTCCGCTAATAGCTCGCGAGATGTCGCTAATGAGTTCCGTAAAGATATTTATAAAGAATATATTTTTGCTGTTTTATTTAAGGAATATGTATTTAAAGAGATGCGATTGTTTGTCTGTGGTTATAAATAAAGTGCAATAAATTTGCTTAGCAAAACAATTTGAAATTTCAAAATTCCATTGAAACATCGTTGAGATACGGCAATTTGAATTTGCAAGTTTGTAGTGAAAGTTTAAGCAAGAGATATTTTTTCTAGTGTTTAGGAGCAGTTTTAATCCAGTATTACAGATTCCAAGAGGACGCACCTCATCCCGAAAGATTCAGACACATTCATCGCCAAATAAAAGATTTCTAGCCTATATTCTAGGTCCAATTGACCCCATGGTACAGCCAAAGGGTTAAAGAGCACTCTGTCCGCCCCCAGAAATCCCAATCCATGAAGACGGCGATAAAACACTTACCCTTTCGCCCGTATGCAGCCTAGTGTGCACGGAAAGGGCTCGTGAGTCCACAAACGCCTTCTCGCAGTATTTGCACTTGAATGGACGTTCACCTGCAACCAAAACGATACTGCATTAGAACAAACATTCAACACAATTTGACTCCTCATTCAACCCACCCGTATGCCTCCTCCGGTGGATGATCAAATGGGACGACCTGGGAAAAACCTTCGAACAGAACTCGCACTGATTGGGCCGATCCTTACAGTGCTGGTTCAGGTGAGTTTGCAGCTCCTCGGACGTCCCAAACGGTTTACTGCAGACATTGCACTTGTACTCCAAGGAAGAACCCGTGCTGCCAGCCGGACTATTGGCACCGCTTATGCTCGAATTCGAATTGGTATCCATCAGAGATGTTGGCTGATGTTGTTGTTGTTGCTGATGCTGCTGCTGCTCCGTCGTTGCCTCATGCTTCTTCATGTGGTGCTTGAGGTTGTTGTACTGTGGGAACGTTTTTTCACCTGTGAATGAAGACGGGATATGACGAAAGTGACAATCGTGACTTGATTGAAGGGATATGCTTACACATTTCACACTTGTACGGATGGACTCCGGTGTGCAATCGGTTGTGCACCGTCAGTGCGGAAGCGCTGGAGAAAGTCTTTTCGCACTTCATACCTGACGTTAGAGAAGGAATGGATTAGTGTCGTCAGTTTATAGTATGATAATTAATAGGGGTCGAACATTGACTTTCGATATCTTGGAAAATCCCCCGATACTCACATTTCAGTCGACTCCCCGGTGTATGCAACCGAGTGTGCACCGACAGTGCCCGGCTATCCACAAAAGCCTTCCCACAAGTCGTACACTTAAAGGGCCGCTCGCCGGTGTGCCTCCGTCGGTGAATCACCAGATAGCTACTGCCGGAGAAGTTCTTCCCGCAAATTTCACACTGATTCGCTCGGACTCCCTCGTGCGCTCCCTTGATGTGGGCCTTGAGGTTTTTGTGGTTCCGATAGGACCGTTCGCAAATGTGACACTTGAAAGGCCGTTCCGGTTGCGTAGGTTCCGAGCCCTTGCTGGACGAGTCACATTTGCCTTCCTCTTCCGGAAGTGTCGTCGTGCTGCCGGTGGATGCGGACGATACGCCAAATGGAAGGCCCGCATTGCTGCTGGTGTCGATGATCGTTTCCTGTATTGGCAACTCGGTTTTGGCTTGCTCCTGATTGGGCGATTTGGCATAGGGTTCCTGTAATTGAAAGTTACAAATTAGTACGAGAGGTCAGTCGGTGCGAGGGTATATTTACTATTGGAACAATAGCTTCATCTTCTGACATCGATGAGTAGTCTTCGTCCTCGTACTGGTCATACTGATGCAAACTGGTCACGCTTGATTCGCTACTTATTTTGGCATTCTGAAGGTAGGACCCTCCCGCTGCAGCAGCCATTTGCTGAAGTTCCACGTTACCCAGGACGAAGTAAGTTTTCCCAGGAATAATACCGACCTGCTGAGGTTCCACCATCGGAGACGATTCCTCCGTTAGTAATTCGCTTATACATTCACTATCCGATCCAAACGGTTCAATACTGCTGAGGTCATGTTCCATTGGACTATCTACGACGGAGAGCTTGCTACTGCTACTGTTGCTGCTGTAGCTACTAGCTTCCGCCAGGGCAGGGCGTCCAACCTGCCCGTATATCGTCGTTCCCACCCCCGCTACTTCTGCCGTAGCCGCCATCGTCGTTGATTGCACATAGTTTCTATTGCAGATATCACATTTCCCCCTTCCCTCCAACCCATTAATGCTAGACTCCGTCCTCGACGTCCCGTACTCCCTCCGGCACTGTTCGCACCGATAGACCTGTATATCCGTACTGCCGCATCGATGCCGATTGAAGCTGCTCTGATTGGCGAATCCTTCCCCGCAGAATTCGCACTGGAACACGTGGTCGCCCCCAACCGCAGATCCGGAGCTTCCACCGGAACCACTCAAACTGATCCGATTTGCCTGAAGGTACTCGCAGAATTCACACTTGCACGATTGCTGCTGCTGGACCTGCTGGATCTGCTGGGGGGCCATCGTCGCCACTTGGGGTACGACCACCACCTGTTTTACATAATCGCTGGCGGTCGCGGTCGTCGCCGTCGTCGGATCATACCGGCTACTCACTCCGTCTGTGGGTTTCTAGACGAGGGGAGAACAAGAGAAAGAAACGTGATAAACACTTTTTTAATTTAATTTGCTTCAATCTGTTCGCGGCTCGCGCGGCATGGATGTCGACAGTCGTCGTTCGAATTTGTTTTTTTTTTCGCTTTGGCTTTGGGCTCAATGGATGGTTCCCTTTCAATGGGTATACCTTTGCAGCCTGAAGTGAAAGAGAATTGCCGAAAAAAAAAAGTGAAAAGAGTTTGTTTAACAAATAAGCGTGGTTGGATGTTTGTTATAGCGCTGAGATGGACACGACACAGCTCCGCAGGAAAAGGGGGAGGTGTGTGATAAATAAATGTACATTGGACAGTAGAAGCAACAGCTTCCCGATGGTGATAATCGCTAAACGAGGGAAAAAAAAGTGTGACTTTATGACGGGAAATGAAACAAAAAGTGAGAATGAAATTTTCATTGCGTACGAATGGGGAGGTTTTTAGTTCTTTTTGAGTAGCTATAGCGTTGAATGCGCTGCATCTTCATTTCAGAACATGGTTAAGAGGTTTTACTTTAAACCATGATTGTGACATTAGAATTTTTAGGATCTGAGGAAAGAGGAGTTTGAAGCCTGGGTAGCATGTGACAATCTTCCGAATAGAAAAGAAATCATCATTACGCTACACTAAAAACGGAAATTTACATCCATTGTAATATTAATCTGCTGCCCGAAGTAGTAGCAGCCGACGATAGTGTCATTTTTCTAGCTCCAGGATTTATCTCCCTTGATTTGTTTTCAGTCAATCTTGTTTTCCATACTGAGTACCAATGCTACCGGCACCAGGGAGGCAGCTCCTACACCTAGACCCTACCTATCGACCGATCAACTCATGAACCGGGGACCAACGGCTTTGCTTCAGAAAATCCCGATGGTGCCGACTGGGGTTGAACCCAGACCCTTTGGAGTGAGAGATTCTAAATTCTAGAATTTATCATTTCCACTGATTTCCAGACCACGAGAATTTCTGATGGGCTGAAATTCTTTGGAAATCTTCAGAGGATATCTTTGGCCTTTTATCAAGTGTTCCATTTGAACCTTCATGAAATTTCATCATACTTCTTTTCTGAATACCCTTCCAATACTCTTGACAATCTCCAATATTTTTCAATAAAATTCTAAAGTTTTTTTCTATTTATAATTTGGTCGCACAATATGGGTAATTTCTGCAAGAGGAGCTTATATTCAAAAACCCTATGGATATCATTGAGTAGTTGACAAAAACACATGAAACATTATTCGTCTGCTTTTCGATCTTTACAATGAATACCTCCCATCATGTCTTTCACAGTAGTACTGTCAACCGTATCTGCCATTTTTTACACCACTGCTCCAAATCAGATGGTGTTTTGATTGTTTTGCGACATTTCTTCAACGAAAATCTGGACCATTCAATGATATCCCTGCTATAATGCTAGCTGCTAAAGGCTGGCCAGAACTTTACGGGACCTTCGTGTGACAGAATGAATGGCAAAATTCGCTTATGGAGACATTTCCCCTTGTAAACCTGCAAAGACAAATTTGAGCTTACCCGGATCATCACCCTTACGTTTGGCAAGGTATCATTTTTGACCTGAAATTTGTCCAAAGTCCATTTTACGTAAGTTTCATCGTCCTTCAAAATACATCCATTATACTTGGTCAGGTACGATCGAAAACCTACAGATTCACTTCATGTGCGCCACACAACCTTTTCGCTAAATCCCGTCCGGAAATCCCAGGATTATTTTTGTCTGCCCTAATGATCTTCGCTCGCAATTTCCGGTCATATGTTTCACCTCTACGTTTGTTTTGTTTTCTGCGATCCAACGTTAGTGTTTCCCGGTAACGTTCAAGCACGGTTTTTAGAGTCGATTTTGGAAATTTGAGAGCCTTTGCGATCATTCTTCCTACCCAACAAACAATCGTCTATTGAAAAAAAAAGTTCTTAACCATTTTATTCAACTGCATGCTTAATAGTACTTGTACTATTTATAATAATAACTTCTGTTCAGGCTTTGTTCACACAAATCTGGAGAATTTATGCAACCACAACATTGAACTACTTGGCGTTGTATAAGGTATAACGTGTTTGATTATTTAGAGTTTATTAGACATCACTGCTTCCTTGAAACAATGATGCTCTGTATACGCTTGATTCTCATGTGAAGTAACGTTTAATTAGACATTATTATACATTTATTAAACGATTATTTAACTGAAAATTACCCGAAAATAAGAGGGACGGGGACAGGGAAGGGTGTGTTTCTTAAGTGATTGTTTTAATTATTTCGGACGTGGCACGCACCACACAGATATTAGAAAACTTATTATATACATATACATGTCGTTGCATGGGATTCAAACCATGTACCTTCCGATCACCAGCCTGATCATCTGAGCTATTCTAGAATTCGTCATATGGGCAACTCAATAATCAATAAAAGCTTGCTTGAAAGTAAATACCTATCAGCACTCCCGATCGCAACTCTAGCTCTTTCAAGGCCCTGTGGGAATGATTAATTCATTCATCGTTGTTTTACATGAGACCAATGTTATCTCTTCACCTCTCTAATTCGAAGGAAAGGATGCTCGGTATTAGTCATGGGATCGATGATTACTATTTAAATTAATTAGACGTAGAGCACAAATAAAAACAAAAGGTTGACCTTGGGATTGAATTCACGGCCTTCTAACTTGGAAAGCGGAAACGGTAACCACTACTTTACTGATTTCGTCTTGTTGGTAGACTGAACCAGTGTTGTCGAATAATGAATCTTATACGTCGTTTATAAAGCATTTATAAATCATGTATATCAGCAATATTGTAAAGCAATGCAATGAAATCTAATAATGGAGCTAAATATCATTTATTAGACGTCTAATAAAGCATAGTTTTAAATTAATTGAAAATATTCGAATTAGAGCGTCAATGTATGTGCAAATTACACTTATCCAGTTTGGTATTAGATCAAATTTCTGGCGTTGAATTGGGAAGACAGTCAGCGCTTATACAGCTTTTAATAAGTAAATTAATCCGATCAGAGCAAACAGTGGAATAAATGTGCTTTTTCAGCACATAATTCGACAACTCGTTTTATTCAGCATTGTACACTGTTATACAGCATTTATTCAATATATATGCTTATTTGTGACTCTGAATTGTTTGTGGGTAACCACGTTGGGTGTCTCGATAACTTTTAAACGTGTGTTTGAATTGTGATGAAATTTTCATCACTGAATAAACAATCCTTCCAAATTAAAACGCTGTCAACAGTTTCTTGCTACAACAACTAGAGACGCACCGATAATTAAAAAGAAGCGGCAAAATACTATCTGAAATTTAGGCGTCTTGGCCGTTCTCTGCACAGCATTCTTAGTACGCATTTTTCATAGAAATCTCTTAGAATTCACTGTATAATTCCATAATTATCTCGAACTGGTTAGAATTCCTAAGAATTCGCTGAATAATTTACATGGTACATCCTTCAGAACTACCTTGACACTCTTCTTATTGCAGAATTCCTTTTAAATCCCATAGAATTTCATTAGAATTCATCTCCATAGGAACATTTATCAGAATTCCGTTGATATTTCCTCACGATTCTCTAATGTACACACTTATAAAAAATCATGTAAATTTAAGTGCTCTGAGAGTGACAAGAACGAGCGTCAATTTTGACATAAATTTGAGTCATATATATGCGAAATATAGTTTAAACAAACGTACTTTTCGTAGAGCGACGAACTCTTCAGTATCGGAGTACTTAATATTACATGATATATTTGTTTACGTCTCATTTTTTATGTTAACGATGGATTCCATCACGTGTACATTAGTTATTTCTACGTGTGTATTCAACATACCCATTAAATTCTTCTCAGATTTCCTTGCTAATAGAAAAAATATTCCATTTTCTTTCCCCACAAAATCTCCATGCAATTGTCATCAGAGTTATGATCAATTTATTGTTTTCAATCCTGAACGATTTTTCAATTGATCATTTTGTCAAGCTTCTGCATTCATGTTCCATCAGATGTCACTGCTGTTGTTTGCGGTGACATCTATCGGAAACTACAAACAATATGCTTTCCTATAATTGTTCACAGAGGAAACTACAGTGCAAAACATGTCTGGTACCTCTATCCCAAGTAACAATTCTGCAATCATTTGGCATCCACTCTGATTTATGATGGTTTTATAATGGCAATGAATAATCCATTTAGTTTAAATACAGTATTTCGCAGTGTAACACGTTCCTGCTTAGTAGTTCACCTTTTCACTGTTTTAAAAACCTTTTACAGTCTGTCGAGAAGTCAAAAACTGTCTTGTTTTAAAATTAAATTTAAAGTTGTTCTCAATCCCACCATAAAACTGTTCTATAAATCAATCATAAACTTCATTAGCATTTTTTTATTAATGTCTTGATAAAATACTCTATAAACCTGTTCTATCATTATAAAAGCAATCATAAAACCATTGAGTTTTAAATGAGAGCAAATGGCATATATTGTTGCCTTTTAGGCTTTTATAAGTGTATCATAAAATCTCCTCTGTTTACAAATTGAATTTTAAGGATGGATCCTCACAGTGAATAAAAACCAAATTTATGACAAGGATATATCGAAGGATAAACGAAGTTGGAAGAAAAATTCAAGCGATGCTAACGACCGAAGGGAGGTCGATTTCAGAACCAGCACGTCCGGCGGAACGGGTACAATCAACGACTGAGCATCTGGTGGAGAAGAGAGAAGTGAGCGTGGTCCTCAAATTCATAAAACATTGTCAAAACAGCCTGAAAACAGACCAGCCTTCTCCAGACCTTGCGAATAGATGAAGATCGGAACAACTTGTGTCAGTACCGACAGCAAACCACTGAAACTGTCAGTTAGTGGACACTAGTTGGTTTCCGATCCATAGCTGCGATTTTATTCGGTGAAAGGGTCATCACTTGGAAAAAAATAATCAACTGTACATTTCTGCATCGTTTGATGGTGCACTTCC